CTAGGCAATAGGGTTAAGTGACTTGCCTAGGGTCACACAGCTAATACATGCTATGTGTCTGAGGCCGCATTTGAACTCAGGTGCTCCCAACTCCAGGGCCGGTACTCTATCCACTGCACCACCTAGCTGCCCCTACCTTAATTCTCTTGACAGAGGCAGCTAGGTGGCTCAGCAGAGAGAGTGCTAGACCTGGAGCTAGGAGGACCTGAGTTCAAATCCTGCCTCAGGCACTTATTAGCTATGTGATACTAGGCAAGTCACTTAATCTCTTTCTCCTTCAGTTTCCTCAATTGCAAAATGGTGATAATAACACCTGCATCCCAGGGTTATTGTGAGGGTCAAATGAGATGATATTTATAAAGTACTAGTGATCATTAGGAGCCATTATGGCTTCACTATATAATATATATAATATAAATATATATAATATATAATATTACATATAATACATAATATTATATATATTATACATAATATTATATATTATATACATATATTATATATATATATATATATATATATATATATATATATATAATAAGACTAGCCTCGTTTCCTTTTTTGAAAGCCTTACTAAACTGAAAGATGGGGAGAATGTTCTCAATATAATTTACCTAGATTTAAGAGCAGCATTTTATAAAATCTCTCATAGTCACCCTGTTGGAAAAGAAGCATAAATGCAGGCTTGATGAAAATATGATAGCGTGTATTTGGAGTAGGTTGAATGACCAGACCCAAAGAATAGTTATTAATATTTTGATTTTACCTCGGCAGAAGGGCTCCAGCAGAATGCACCCAAGAATCTGAGTTTGACACTATGCTATTTAACATTTTTATCAGTGACTTGGATAAAGAAATAAATGTTATGCTTCTCAGATTTGAAGCTGACACAAAACTTTGAGAGATAGCTAACAAGATGATTAACGGTCAGGATTCAAAAACATCTTTACTCAGAATATTGACCTGAAGATAAAATTGTATAGGATTAAATACAAAGCCTTAAGTTTAAAAAATTGATTTTATCAGTGCAAGATGAGGGAGGCATATTTGTTTGAAAAAGGTTTTTAGTTTTTAGTGCACCACACGCTTAATATAAATCAACAGAGTGATTTGACCACCAAAAACAAATTAATGTGATTTTTTAGCTATATTGAGAAAAACACCTTCTGAACTCTGCCCTGGTCATGCCACATACGGGATATTATGCTATATTCTGGGAACCACATTTTAGGAAGAACATTGGTAAGCTAGAGAGTATTCAGATGAAGGTAACCAAGATGTTGAAGGTTTCTTGAATTCATGCCATGTAGGAATCAGTTAAAGGAAATAGAAATGCTTGGCTTGGAGAAGGTAAGAAGACTCAGAGGGGACATGAAATATTGCTTTCAAGTATTTGAAGAACTGTCACCTGGAAGAGGGATTGAAGTTGCTCTATTTGGCCCCAAAGGGAAGAACTAGGAGTGTTGGATGGAATTTGCAAAGAGACATATTTAGACTGATGGTAAGGAAAATTTCCCAACAATTAGAGCTATCCAAAAACAAAAAATGGAAGGACTCCATTGGAAGGTAATAGGATCTCCTTCAGTGGAGAGAGGTCTTCAAGAAAAACCAGGATGACCATTTGGTGAGAATCCTTTAAAGCTGTCACTTGGACTGGATAGACACTAAGGTCCTTTCTAACTCAGAAATTCTGTGATAGAAGAAGTAGATTTTTCAGTTAAAAAAAAAAGACAAAGATGGTAAGATGAAGAAGCTTTATAGTCGTCACAAGGGCCCTTTAAATTCCCCTGAACAAACACTTGCTGAAGAACTATGGCAGCCTGATAGCCCAGAGCTTTGCCTTCATTATGATGCAGTATGAAGAAGCTGGATCTGTCCCAAGTCCATGCAGGAAAACATACATTATGGGCCTTCAAAAATAAAATGGTGTTTCACCTGTTGACTCATTATATGGTTGCCTGTTGAATGCACCTGTCAAAAAATTCAGCAGTGGGCAGTCAATGGGAGAAGAAGACTATGGAGAAAGAAGCTCCCTAGTTTTTAACCCATCCTTTTTCTCCTTTTCTCTATCCCACAACCCTTTGTTGTGAAGCTAGATCTGGAAGGGGCTTTAGAAGCCATCTAGTCCCTCATTTTATAGATGGGGAAACTGAGGCATAGGGTAGTGTTGTTGTTGTTGTTATTTTTAAATGACTTGCCCAGAGTCATACAGCTAGGACTTCCTGACACATACTCTAGCACTCTAAAGTATAGAAAATACTTTGTGCACCTTAAGGCACTATATAGAAGTGAGCTATTATCATTGGTTGTTGTGGATATACCTATATCATATCTGATAAGTGCCGAGGCTGAAAGCTTCCAACTCTGAGATTCTATGATTCTCTCCTCTCTTGCCAAAGGTCTCTTTCCATTGTTTCACCCCAGGGTTCCTTACAAGTCCCAGGCCAGATGATCATGGAACCATACTTTATTATTCTTGTTATTACCATCATCAATAATAATAATAATCACTTGCATTTATGTGTCATTTTAAGATCTGCAAAACACTTTACCTATGTAATCTCATTTGATCATCATAACAGTCTTGAGAGGTAGGTGCTATTATTAACCCCACTTTAGAGATGAAGAAGCTGAGGCTGAGTGTGGTTAAGTGACTTGCTCACGGTTACCCAGCTAGTAGGCAGCTAAAGTAGGAACTGGACCTCTATATTCTTGACTCCAAGTCCAGTGCTCTATTTACTGTACCAACCAGCTGCCATAATCGCAAACCATGGCATGTCTAGTGTTGCCAAGCCTGGAAAGCCTGCCTTTGATGACTGTGCCCCAGCTGCACAAGCTCAGTGATCTCTTGCCCATCTATTGGCAGACACCTCTCCCCTCCTCTCAGCCCAATTGTATCCCCCTTCCAACTTGTCATTTAGCTACACAAACATGTCCATTAGAAGACCTGCCAGGTTATCAGGCACCCAGTCAACTTTTCCTGAAACTGCTCATTTAACCCCTTTTTGGAGATTTCGATTAACACCATATCCTTCTGGGGCCTCTAGACTCAGCTGGTGAAATTTCTTTCTGAGCAATGATCTATTCTTCTGCTGTATCTAAAAATCAATACGGCAGCAGCTTGTGTCTTGTGCAGGTACCCCCCAAATTACCAAGAACTCATCTTTTAAGTTCTCATAGCAGAGAGCTTTCCTCCTCCATCAGAAGAATTTCTCCTTCCAATGCAACCTTTTCCCAACTTCCCAAGAGCATACCCTCTATTATAAAAATTAGGGACTAGTGCTTAAAAACCAGCTCACACTGGCCAAGGAAGGCTGCTGTCTACTCCATCCACTTCTTGAATGTGGTGAGAAAACTATGGCAGGGTGAAGTAACAGCATTGCTTCCCTGGTGGGGACTACCAACGAAGCCACCACGTATAGTCTTTTAGGTGGGGTGTGCCTGCTGTGCAAGATGACAAATAGGGTGTCCCATAAAATTTCTGAAACTATCCTAGCTCACAGATAACCTCCATCAGACTTTCTAGAGTTCGAGAGAGGTAGGGCACACTTCCATAGTGTTGGTGTTCCTGTTGGCATTTCTTGACTTCCATTCCTACAGCCTCTGATGTAGTATTCCTGGGAAAATAGGAAAGGGCTCAGAAGGTGTTGCCAAGGACACAGGAGTCATTGACCTTATAATGCTAGTTATTGTTGCCCAACCTTTCAGGGATTTTTTGCACCCAAGACCTTGAGTATTTTACAGCCCAGCCTGGTACAGGAGGCATCCCCAGCAACACATACATTATAAGGGAACACAAATACAGGCACATAGGAAATCTACCCATGAACACCAGAGCCCCAGAGACTCAGTACGGTGTTCTGCCACAAAGAATTTGCTTTCTTTCTCTCCCTCTTGTCAAAACAATCAACTCTGCCATCATAATATAAAGGACCAGTTTAGCTACTCCTGCCCCCAAATTATAGCTCTCTGCTTTGATCTACTCCCAGAAGGAAGCCTTCGTGAAAGTGGTGCCCTCATTAGTACTATTAGCAGCAGTTGCCTGCCTGCCTGCCTGTCTTCCCGCACAACTCAATTGCCCTGCCTCCCTGATTGTGTTAGCATTTGGGGGGTAAGGAGTGGATCTCTAGGCATTTAAACATTTTCTTTAATTTAAACATAATCTTTAAATTATATGCCAAAGTAACAAGAGAACTATACAAATTATTTCTGTCAAGAACTTGAATAATAACAATGGCCAGCATATATACCTATATACCTTTCTCTTTGTTTCTCTCTCTGTCTCTGTGTGTGTGTGTGTGTCTCTGTCTCTGTCTCCGTCTGTCTGTCTGTCTTTCACACACACACACAGAGCGTTGTAACACTTTTGGAGCACCCTGCATACGTAGCTATATATGGGAAATTAGTTGACATGTTGCCTACAGTACTTGCTTTGGAGTCAGGAGGACCCGAGTTCACCTTGGGCAACTCACTTCACTTTTCTGTGCCTCGGTTTCCTCATTCATCTAATGGGATAATAATAGCATTTTCCTCCCAGTGTTGTTATGAGGATCAAATGAGGGAACATGAAACGTACATTCCAAACTGTGAAGGACTTTGTAAATCTTAGCTATTATTTATATAGCATTTGAAGGTTCACAAACTTCTTTATATGTTACCATGTTATTATGTTATTTTTATGTTACTATTATTATTCCCCTTTTACAGATGAGAAAACAGAGGCTGAGAGAGGTTAAGTGACCTGCCCAAGGGTACACGACTATTAAGTGTCTGAGGCAGAATTTGAACTCAGATCTTCCTGACTCCAAATCTGGTGGTCTGCCTTCTCTGCTACTTACCTACTCCGGGTGACAGTATTGTAGGACCCTCCCTCCCACTGAAGTGGGAGGATTTGGATTGTTTCACTCTTGCATTAGAAGCAGGAGGGTCCTTTATTATTTGGTGACCCTGCTGGGTGTTTTGGAAGTTTTTGAGGTTTGCTATGGCTTTTGTTTTGACAGCTGCTGCTACTCCTCCTAGTAACAGGACAAGGGGCTGAAGCAAAGTGGAAAGCTGTGGAGAGATAAACAACAGCAGCATTTGAACTTATTTCCCTTCTGCTTGTTCTAACGAGGTTTGTTCTGGGCACCTCCTCACTTTTTTTTTTTTTAAGGTTAATGTTACCTCCATAGTAAGCAATGGTGTTTTCATTAATCAGTGCGAGCTGGCTTCATTTACATTGATACTGGAGTTGTCTGATACTAGTTATCCTTTTAATCCAGGTGTTAGTTTGTATTACATTGTAAGAGCATAACTTGAGGTTAATATATGAGACTGAGAGTTGGGGAGAGCAAACATCTGAGTTCTGTTCTTCAGCACTGCCACTGACTCATTCCTCCACCATGACAGATCATTTAACTTCTTACAGAGATCCTGGGAGTTTTCATTACTAATGGTTGATTACTGATGATTGTGGAGTGCTTTACGTCCACCCTAGCTTAGGGAAGACTGTTGCCATGGAGAGCAATGAAGGCATCAGCTTTGGGAGCTCTCCAACAGAGGAAGCTAAAGGGTGGGGCTGTTTGCCACTAGGCCACTAAAAGAGAGGCAGTCAGACAGACAGAAGGAGGGAGGAAAGAAGGAAGGAAGGAAGGAAAGAAGGGCAGGAAAGAAGGAGAGAGGGAAGGAAGGGTAAAAGAAAGAAACAAAGGGAGAAAAAGAAAGGAAGAGAAAGAGGAATGAAAGAAGGGTAAAAGAAACAAAGGGAGAAAGAAAGAGGAAGGAAAGGAGAGAAAGTGAGAGAGAGAAAAAAGGAAGAAAGAGAGAAGAAAGAAGGAAGGAAAAGGAAAAATGAAAAAGAAAAGCCACTTATATGTCTACAGAATACTGAGTGCTGCAAATGGAGAAATTTGTCAAACAACACCCCCCCCCTTCTTTGCCCCAGAATGAAACAGCATCTAGCCCTAAAATCCTATGGAAAGAAAGAGGCATAAATTTAGGCTTGATATCAGGAAAAACTCCCTAACAATTAGAGCTTTGCCTTGAGAAGTGATAAGTGCTCCTTCCTTAGAGGTTTTCACACAGACCTTGTTGAGTTATGTTATAATGGAAATTCCTTTCATGTATGAATTGGACTAGATAGTTCCTTCCAGTTCTCAAATCCTGTGATTCTGTGATTTTTATCATGAGCTTTGACCCACAATCCACTCCAGATGCTTCTTTTCCACTTCCAGATCTTCAGTTCTACAACCTGTGTCCCAATCAATGATGTTGCCCTTGAACCTTCTGGCCCCTTACCTACACAGGAGTTTCCTGGTGGTAGCACTGCCCCATTCCTTTCCCCCCAGATAAGGAAGACTTCTGATCATAGATTTAGAGCTAGAAATTAAGTTAGAACAGAGGTTCTCAAGCTCTCCACTCAAGATGACCTTGGTATCTCTAGGCCAAAAGAAATACCTAACCATTCTATTGATTAGGTAGGTAGATCCAAACAACTTTATAAGTGATTCTGACCTTACAACTTAGGAGCCATTTAAAAAATAATAATACACATAAATTGAAAGAAAAAAATAATATTTTTATTTCATTCTTAACCAGAATTAGTTACTAATGGGGTGGGTGTGCTTGTTGGCTCCCACTTCTCTGGAATCAGATTCTTTCTGTGGTGGAAACTGACGTGTTTAGCATGGCGCAATGGAAGGAGCCTTGAATTTGGAATCACGGGATCTGAGTTTGAATTCTGACACGGAACTTGGAATCAGATTTGTACTCTACCTCCCTCATTGCAAAGATAGGTACAAAATGAGGAAGTTCCACAAATTCTGATGTAGCCAAAAGTACAAGCAAACAAGACATATCTAAAACATTTGAGAATATTATCAAAAGGGATAGTGGTTTGAGTGGTCTCTGACAGATGTCACATAGCTCTGTGTTTTCCTTGAACACTTAAAATATCTTGCTTTGACTTTGTGGCATGGTGCTCTCTAGCATAGTTTAAAAACCAAGGCTTTAGGAATCACCTGGTCCAACCCTCTTCTCATTTAGCACATAAGGATAACACACAACACATAATAACAATAATATCTAATATTTGCATAGTGCTTACTGTGTGCCAGGCTCTGTGGTAGGAGCTTTCCAAATATAATCCCATTTGATCCTCACCCAACCCTGCAAGATAAGTGCTATTATTATCCCCATTCTTTGTGTTTTTCAGTTGTCTCCTACTCTTTGTGACCCCATTGGGGGTTTTCCTGGCAAACATCGTAGAGTGGTTTGCCATTTTCTTCTCCAGATTATTTTACAGATGAAGAAACTGAGGCCAATAGGGTTAAGTGACCTGCCCAGGGTCACATAGCAAGGAAGAGTCTGAGGCCAGATTTGAATTCAGGAAGATGAGCCTTCCTGACTCTAGGCCCATTTTACAGTTGAGGAAACTGAGGCAGACAGAGGTTAAGTGACTTAATGCCTGAGGTCCGATTTAAGCTCAGGTCTTCCTGACTCCAGGTGCAGCATTCTATCCATCATGTCACCTAGCTGCCTTGTGAAGGTAAAATGACTTATCCGTGGTCATACCTACCTTTGGCATGGTAAAGATTTAAACCAAAGTCCTCTCATTCCAAATCCTGCACACTTTCTGTTGTGCTCTAGCTTCTGCCAGCAGCATGGAACTCTGACCTCAGAGTCCAGATGGTTGGAGGGAGGGGGAGAAGGATAAGACAAAGAAGAGGAAAGTAATCAACTAGGAGATTCTTAAGTAAAGCCTATTGAAATAGAAGCCTCTAATGTTGCTTATCTTAAGTAATTGAGTCTCCATACATTTAATTACTTCACAGGATTAGTTCTTGAATAGTTCATTCAGACTGCCTTTAAAGGTTGCCAATTGATCATATAATCACAAAGTGACTTGATGCATCCAGGCCATTAATAATCGCTTTGTTAATAGTAATGGTAATAGCTATTATCATCATTCACATTTGTGTAGCACTTCATGGCTTACTGAGCCCTTGAGAGACATTATCTCATTTTATGCTGACAACAATCCTGTGAGGGTGGGTAGGACAAATAGAATTATCCCCATTTCACAACATAGAAAGTGATACTCAGAGAGAGGAAGCAGTGTGGTACAGGGGAAAGAGCATTAACATTGGAATCAAGGGTCCAGGGTTCAAATCCTACCTCTGACACTGCATGTGTGACATTGGTGACGTCACTTAATATCCCTGGACATCAGCTTCTTCATTTGTAAAGTGAGGGGGTTGTGGCAGGTACCCTCTGGGGTCCCCTCCAGGTCCAGATTGATGATGCTATAATCTATGGTGTTGTTTGCCCAAGGTCACATAGTTCAAAAGGGTTCTGTGTCAGAATTCAAACTCAGATTCTGTGACTCCAAATTCCAGGCTCCTTTCATTGTACCATGCTAAACACATCAGTTTCCACCACAAAAAGAAGACTGGAATGGCTTTGATCGAGTCATGAATGTACTCTGGATTGTTCTGGATTACCCCCATCTCTGAAGCATCAACTTGTCCCAACAGAATATCGTGAGCTCCTTGAGACCAGGGACTGTCCTGCCTTTTTTTGTAGTCACGGCACTTAGCACAGTGCCTGGCATGTAGTAGGTGCTTAATAAATGTTGATTGATTGATCGATTATCTTGTTGCCACTCTAAGCCTATGAGAGAAGTAGAGTCTCTCTATGTTAGGAAAGATGTCTTCTTTCACCACAGTGTAACATTAAATATTCCTGTTACCCAGAGTGCTGGTGCTGAGGCCTCAGTAGAGATTACTGAACACTTAGCCCTTTGATTCCTGATGCTGCATTAAAGAGTTTGTTGTAGAAAGACAGCTTAATGTTCATGGATTCACCATCATCATTATCATCACCAGCTCTTACTGAGCACCTAGGTGGACATAGAACTGAGCTAACTTTTAAAAAATTGGCACAGCCTGACCTACTCAGGCACCTTTCACAGGTTCATTTTAAAGCCATAGAGGGAAGAAGTGGTTCTTGGATAATTCCCTAGTTGAGTTGTGTGTTAAATCTAGTTTGGCTCCTTCCCTGCCTGGAACATTTCTTTTCATTAAAGTTGAAAGCTGACAGATAACAGGTGTGGGTGCTCTGCCTTTGGACATGAAAGCCATTCGGTATAAAATAAAGCCTTGATGAAATACCAGTGTCTCATTTCCATCTGTATAATCTTAGATCTAGAGCTATAAGGGACCTTAGAGGCCATTGAATCTAGTGCTCTCATTTTATAGATAGGGAAACTGAGGCCAAGAGAAGTTAAGTAATTTGCCCATGGTCACATAGGTAGTAAGTGTCTGAATTGGGATTTGAATTCAGATCTTTTCTGACTTCAAGTCCAGAAATCCACGATGGCATGCTATCTTTCTTCATTCCCTTTCTCACTATCTTCTTACCCTCATTCTCTCTGCTCCTTCACAAAGAGAGGGCAAAAGCTGAAAATTAAACATATCCCTCTATTGGGAAATACACAGGTAAAGGAGACAAGGCAGGTCATGCTCAAGTGCCATTTAGGGGATATTTGTAAGTGTATGTGTTGTCTCTACCATTGCAATGTAAGGTCCTTGAGAGAAGGCATTATTTCACTTTTGTCTTTGTTTCCCCAGCATTTGGCACAGTAGTTGGCACATAGTAGGTTCTTCATAAATCCTTGTTGGCTGATTGATGGTGGGCTATACACAGTCGAGTATTCTTTTGTCTTATTTTTGGAGCCCTCTATAATCTGTCCCTGTCCTTCCTATCCAACCCATTTCCCACTGCTACTCAACACATATTCACCACTCTGAACAGGCTCATTCCCACTTTGGTGCATTTTCTTCCCATCCAAGACCCTTTTTCTCTTTCTCTCTATTTATCCACATTCCACCCATCTTTAAAATCTTAGTTGAAATCTCTTCTCCAGGAAGTTTTCTCTGATGATTTCAATCCACACAGACCTCTTTCTTCTTTAAATTCCTTGTCTATTTATAGTCAAAGGATCATAATTATAAAATACTATCATTGGAAGTGACTTGAAATGAAGTCACTCATCCTTCAGTCACCCAGCCTTTGAATACCTTCAGTCATGGGAAGCCCACCATCCATTGTTACACAGCAAAATTAGAAAGTCAT